CCAAATTAAAATGTAATTTAATTAATTCCATTATTAACTAACAAAGTAAATTGATCTTTGTGTTGGATTAGATTATTATACCAAAAACAAATGTATGTATGTATATATATATCCTAGTTAGGTCGGCAAATTCTTATAGGTGCATTTTGGGGGGGGGGGGGGGACACAAACACACGTAGGTCAATTTTGTATGTTAAGAAGAATATAATATATATATATATATTTTTTCAAATGGAATAATTGGAGAGGGGTCCATGGACATTCATGGTAGGTGACACACCACATCAACATTAATTATCACTTTTGGAAGAGACATTTCATCACCCTCTAATCTCATACAAAGATTTCTCAAAGTTGGATTGAGATTTGCTTTTTTGAATGATGGGTTCATAACTAAATTAAAGCATTTTTCACTACACACTTTTGTTTTTCGTTTTTCTAATCTATGAAAGTGATACATCAATTATGTAAGTCATGCTATTTTTTATTATTATTATTATTATTTTTAACACACTAATAATTAATTTTTTAATTAAAAAATAACATAATTAATTTTTTAATTAAAAAATATATATAATTTGATTTGAATTCATAATTTTTGTAAAAATAAAAATAAAAATACAAATCAAATTAGATTAACAACTCAAAGCAGAGGTAAGCAGGAGTGGTGTGGACTTAAACTTAATTTTTCTTAATAATTAGCTAAGGATTTTCTTGTTCGTGTGTGTTGAAAATTTTTAAATTATTGACAAACAATTTGAGACTCTGAGATTCATGATAAAGAGATCTAACACCATTTGGAATATGAACAGAAAAATAATTTAGTATTTAAATAAATTAAAAAAAAAAAAAGGAAAAACAGTTTAAAGTATGTTAATAAATATTTAAATAGCTAATTTTATTTTCTTTGTGTTGATTGTGTTAATTATTACTAAAACTTTTTTAAAGAAACAAGAAAATTTTTTATGCTTTTCATCATATTCCAAAAGCTGGTCAATTTACAAAAAGATATCACTAATAAGCTGGTCACTTTTTCTTTTTTATTTTTTTGAAATAAATAAATAAAATTCTTTTTTTTTTTTTTTTTTTTTTGTCTCCTTCCCTGGTTGGTCATCGTCTATTTACTACAATAAAGTTTATGTACCATAATTTTCAAAATTATTAAATATACCCATTTAAGTATAAGTATACGTAAGTCAGTTCTTGTATTTTTGTCATTATAAATCTTTTTTTTTTCCTATCAGAAATCGGTTGTACACACGTGTGTCTGTATACAGTTCTCATTCATTACCAGGAGCTG